TAAAACAGTTACTAGGAGCTATCTGGAAATGGAATTGATGACCTCTCACCCTAGTATTTTCCCTCTCCCTAAATCAGGGGTTCTTAACCTGAGTTTCATGGTTGTCTAAGGGGTCCATGAATAGATTTCAGGGGTTCCATTAACTTGAATGGGAAAAAAAATCTTTTTTTTCATTAACCTCTAAGTGAAATTTAGCATGTACTCCAATTATTTAAAAAATAGTATTCTGAGGAGTCCTTAGACTTCACCAGAGTAACAAAGGAGTTCGTGAAATCAGAAGTTTAAGAATCTCTGCTCTAAAGGAAGTCCTTCATTTGATCTGGCCTAGAAATTCCTTTTTCAAGCAATATGGAAAGCTTTTCCAATATTATCTCACTTATATGATCTTACTACATTTGTGACAAATGACACCCACATTTAATAAATTGGTAAGTTGAAACTGAGTGATGTTACCCAATGCTACCATGTGCTACAATAAAAAATGCTTAGATAAAGATCTGATAACCTAAAACCTGTCTGATCTGCCAAACAATTGCAAAGACCTATGGTACCCAAATCTACCTTGAAGCAATTTGAGCCAGATCTTATAATACCAGGAAGACTTGTCCTCTAATGTTTAAGAATTACCGGACTTTTTTAGGAACCACATGCTGGAAGGAACCTCAGAAGGAATCTAAATTAGCCCCTCAATTCATAGAGGAGGAAATCAAGGCCTAGAGTGGGGAAGTGACCTGCCCAAGGTCACCCAGCTTGTTTTCAGTAAGAAGGGGAATAATCCTGGTCTCTTCGCTCCTTGTCCTCAGCTTTTTTTCCTATGACATGTTGCCTCCATCTGAAAGAGTCAAGAAGTTCACAGAAGTGAAGGCTGGAGCACTTTTCTCACTTTTCTACAATCACTTTTACCCTTCCAATCCAACCAGAAATAGAATTTTGAGAATGGGAGCCATAAGAAGTTATAATAGCATCAGTATCTGGGGCTTCATGGTTTCCTTTTCTACCTTGTATTGGTTCAGATGGATTGGGAAAAACTATCACTTGGTCTAGAAATATCAGTAACTGCCTGAGCCAGATATATTTGATTGGACAAACAATATTTTGGCCTTTCTAGGTTAAAATTGGACAAGGCGAAAACAGCTTCCCTATTTCAACAAAATGGTTAGGTGAGAGCTTATGCCTGTTTTATGGTTTTGCTGTGTCCTTGTTACATATACTTGCTATATCAGGTCTAAATAAACCTCCTTTTGTTAACCATTCAATGACTTATAAATGCCTCCTTGCCTCCTGACATTGGAACAGAGCTATAGTGGTACTGGTGTCAGATGCATCCCTAAGAACTACTGAGCTAGGACTGAATGTGCATACAAAAAGGCACTGACTAACTAAATGGACCCCTTTCTTCTGTGGTGGCAAGAGCTGCCTACAAGCATGTGGCCTTTTGTTACTTCTATCTCTATTAGGTCTATTTTTTCCAGTTCTTAGGTGATATACTATCATAGATACCTTTGATCTTGTTAGCTTTGAAAGGTCAGAAGAGTGAGTCTCTAGAAAGAGGTCCAGGAACTGGATTACATTACCAGTTTTTGCTGGCAAGCTAACCCTAGTGAAGAGTACAACCCTGAGGAATGACTTGAAGGCCTCAGCACAGAAAGTGGATTGATGTTATGCCTGAGGGTGTTTGGCAAGTAAAGGAGTAACTTTAAATATTTAGAAGTAAACTTGGTGGGATGAATACTTTGTAGTAATCTCTTCAAGTCTGAGTCTATTCTCCTGAGACTGAGGTGATATAGTGGAAAACACATTCTTGGTTCAGGAAGAGGTATTTGTAACTTCTGTTCTTATCATATCTTCTCAATTAATGTCTCTAGATTAAAGCTAACTGATGATAATGTTAAATGATATTGCAGCACTAATCAATGGAATTGATGTTGAAAAGATATTAATTGGCACTGGTAATTGATGTTAGAAATAACACTAGAATGGGGGCTCAAACTGATAGTATTAGGATATCCCATATCCCCCCTGAGGGGGGAAAATGTAAGCCCTCTAGACAACCAACTCAAAAGTGTGAATGTGAGTTGGGATAAGGATCCTCAGATTTTATATGGATTATATTAAGATACTTAAGAAAAGTACACTAATACTTTCAGACTGATGGTGCTCCTACTGAATGTCATTCTTAGAATATTCAAAGGCCCTTGTCTACCAGCTCGTAGTTAATTTCCCTCAAAATGGCATTTCCCAGCCCAGAGGCTTATGGCAACATGAAATGCAGAGCCCTCATCATGCAATCTCACTTCCAGCTTAAAAATTTTCAGTGGCTCTTTATTCATTGGACTTCATAAAGTCTGAACTTGGCTTGGAATTGAAAGTCCTTCCCTTAACACCAGCCTACCTTTCCAGCCCTAACTTCCCTCTAATTCCTTTAAACCTTTCTGCTTAACTTTAAAAATATCCGCATTTATGAGGTTCATACAAGATAATGTATGTAAAATACTTTGAAAACCTCAACATGTTATATAAATGTGAATTATTATTTTGACTTAATTATCTGTCTGGAATGCCCCACTGCTCTTCTTCTCTACTTTTGTAATCCTACTTATCCTCCAAGGCCTACTCTCTCCAGGAGGACTTTCTTGACCCACTGCCAGAAGTGAATTTTTCCTTCTTTTGAAATCTTATAATATTCTTTAACTTTCTGATGATGTTTAACATCCTGCCTAGAACTGCAATAATTTTCAGGTAGCTCTTCTCCCTGTACCCCACTTCATTGTAAACTTCTTAAAAGCAGGGTTATCTCTCTTTGTACCCTACCCAGCTGAACACAGTGCCTTGTACATAGAAGGGGGCTATATCTATATTTGTTGAAAGAATGAATGCATTTAATTGAAGCTTATTTTAACCACCTTGACCCAACAGTATCATTCTGTTCTCTTAGTTTCTACAATCTTTATTATCTCTTTGGGTTCCTAGAATCTCCTGCCTATTCTCATCTCCCTAATTAAATTGCAAACTTGTTGAGGGCAGGTAATACATCACAATATTTCTCTGTATCCTCCTCAGCCTAACATTGCCTTGGATAGTGTAGGTTCTCTGGGGATATTAATTGATTGACAGTAATACTAGGGAGTAGAAAATATTTGTTGTCCAACTCTTTTTGACCTCATTTGGGGTTTTCTTGGCAAAGAGTGATTTACCATTTTCTTCTCCAACTAGTTTTACAGATGGGGAACTAAGACAAATAGGAATAAGTGACTTGCCCAGGGTCACACAGCTACTAAGTGTCTGAGTGCAGATTTGTAGGAAGGAAGATGAATCTTGACACCAAACCCAGTACTGTATCCACTCTGTCACCTAGCTGCCCCATAGAAAATATAGATAAGACCAAAATCCTGCTATGTAAGAGACTGTCAAAGTGGAGGCTGACAGACAGGCATAGGTGATCGGCCAGAGAAGGGGTGCTTTCATCTTTGAGAGGCAGTGTGATGTAGAAGACAACTAGAATCAGGAATAGCCAGGTTCCTAGCTTGATCCAGATACCTAGCTAGACAACACGTTGGGTAAATCACTTAATCGCTCAGTTTCCTCATTTGCATAATGGAGACAATAATCAAGTGAGATGATATATGTAAGACACCACATAAAGTCAGTCGGATTATCGTCATTACTATGATACACTAACTTTGGGTTTTGGGGAACAAATAAAAATAGCTCTTAACCACTGTGGGTAAAGAGTTGGGAAGTAAAAGAGCACAGAAGAGGGGAGAAAGGGTGCTTTTCACCCTTTTCTACCAGTATAAGATGGACAGCTCCTGACACATTTTCCCAACTGCCCCAGCCCTAGACCTATCCTTCCTCATCTGAACTCTCCATACTTCATGTGGAGCCCGAGGAATCACTTGACACATGCTACCTTGTATTCCTAGCTATCTTTAAGTACAAGACTAATCAACATGCCCCTGCGTCCCACGCCTTAGTACAACAAAGTCTCTAGCGAAATCAAAGCTACTGAAAGACATGTATAGTTTTTAGGGGTGTACGTGTGTCCCTAGTGTTTAGCACTCAGTGCTTAATTAATGAATTCTCGATGAATAGCAGACTCTCAATCCAGCTCGCGGCAGATGTGGATCTTAGATTTAGAGACCCTCGGGGCCTGAGACGGAAGCTAATCCAAGCTCCTCCTTTTAAAGAAGAGGAAACTGAGGCCCGAGGAAGTTAAGTCCCTCCTGCACCGTCCCTTGGGCCAGTCGGACTCCAGTTAGTGGCTCCTTCCTCTGATAAGGAATGCTCAGTCAGTCTGGGGCTTCGGATGAAATGCAATGGGGAAAAGGCCACGGGCGACGTTGCCACGACCCGAAGATGGAGGGGGCGGATGCCTGGCGGTGGCAGGGACTGGTCTTCGGACCTGGGGGTGGCGTGGGAGAAGGGTGCTTCCCCTTTGGGGCCATGCCTCAGTTTCCCAGTCAGGGAAATGGACATGGTGCGTGGGAACCACACCAGAAAGGAGCACCCGTCAGCCCCGAGGAGGGAGGCTCGACTTCGGGAAAAGGGGTGGTGTCTGCCCGGGGCGGAGGACAGCAGCTGCGTCCCAGCGACGACAAAGCCAAGTCGTGAGAGAAGGCTGGGGGGAGTGGGGCAGGGGGCTGAGGCTGAGGGGGGGGGTCCCTCTCTTTCTCAGACGTCAGTGTGTCTGGCTGTCAGTCAGCTCCAGATCCTCGCCCCCAGGCCCTCCCCCTCCCCGAAGGAGCTGGAGCTTGGGAAGTACTCTGGACGGAAGGGAGGCGGGGCTCCCATCATGCGGCACCCCACCCCCCGCGAGGAGGAGGAGGAGGGGTCCCGGCCGAGCTGTTGGGGTTAGGGGGCCTGGGGGCGGGGGGAAGGGAGCGCGTCCTCGCGCAGGCGCGCGCACGCTCCGGCGCGCGAATCCGCTGGACTCCCTTTGCTCGAGGGGGCGGGTGGGGAGCGGGGAAGGCGGGGGGAGGGGGCGCGGAACGCACGGATGCGCGCACGCAACCAGGCGCGCCCCCTCCCGGCCGCCATGTTGGATGGTGTGTGGGTGTCAAACCTAGGCAGACGCTGTGGCTGCGAGCGAGCTGGGCGGGTGGCCCCCCACTAGGCTCCAGCTCCCTCCCTTCGTCCCCTCCTCCCCCTGCGCCCTGTACTCGAGGGCCCCTAGGCTTCCGGCGCGGGGGGGGACCGGAGGAGGAGGAGAAGAGAAGAAGGTGAGCTTCGGGCGGCGATGGAGGAGGGGGAAGCGGGAGGGTTTCGGCTCGCCCTCCTCAGGGAGCGGCGCGGGAGCCGAGCCTCGGAGCCAGTGCGTGGCCAGCGGCGGCCGAGGCTCCAGGAGCCCCCAACGCCCTCAGCCTAGCTGGGGGTGGGGAGAAGGGGCAGCCCGGCAAGCCCGAGCCCCTCCCCCCCACGCGGGGCGACGGCGGGGGCGTGGGAGGGGTGCCCCTCCCTCCTGCACCCCCCCCACCTTGCAGCCCGGTTACTCCCGGGCCGGGCTGCCGCGGTTGCTGCTCCCGCGGCCGCTTCCCCAGCCCTGACCCCTCCCCTGAGCTGAGAGTCACCCTCCAGCGCAGGGGTTGGGGCTGCCTTTTGTTCCTTGCGTGGGTGTGAGAGGAGCTCGGTCGGGGGTCCGGACGGGCTGCCCGGGGGTAGATTGGGAGCGCTGCGCCCGAGATCGGTTTAATCATTTCCCGGTCGACCCCTTCCGCACTCCCCCCCCCCCAGTGACCCCGGGGCTCTGTGCTTTCCTTCCTATTTTGGCAGATCACCACAGTTACCTTCAGATCTTGGCAGCCCGGGCTCTAAGGTGAGCTAAGACTGTTTGAGAAGGCTGGCTAGTCAGTCTAATGTAGAGTAGAAGAGGTGCCAACAGGTTGGGTTTTTTTTAACCCCTTTTTTGGGTTGTCCCTGGCCAAAGTTTTTTTGTATATGGCTTTTGCGTCTCCGCGGCTCTCTCCAAGCAGATTCTTCCTCATCTAGGCTTTGAAAGTGCTCAAGATCAAATTATATAAGATGTAAGGCGTTTTGCAAACCTTAAAAACACTATGTAAATGTTAGGTGTGGTTATTACTGTGGTTGTGTATTCTACGTGCGTGTTATACGGAATTCTTGTTCGGGGGTGTTATACGGAATTCTTGTTCGGGGAATGGTTACCCAGATGTCTTTAGCACTTCCACTAAAGGTGCTTAGGAAAAGGTGAGAACCATGGCTTTCATCTGTTCACAGCTCTAAAAGGCAAACGAGGGCAAGCACGGTTAAATGAGGTTTGGGCCTCATTGAGGTGGGGGTGAGAGGGAGATGAGTTCGAACAATCTCAGCTTCCCCAATTACCACCAGATAACGGAAGTTTGGCAGAAATTCTGGCCACCACAATGATAAATGGTATCTAAATTACACAGAAAATTTCTGTATCTTTTTTTTTCGGTTTATATTGGTAATTTATTTTTCATCTGTGTTTGACTGAACCTTGACCTGGTTTAAATATTGCTTTTCAAATTTCTTATAAACTCTTACTCATCCAAGAGAATCTGATGATAATCTGCAAACTATTGAATGCAGTAACTTGGTATTTTATTTGGGATTTTGTCACAAATGTCGTGAATTGAATCTACTGGGTAAATTTGTCGTCCAGTTTTTGGTAGAGTTTTGTAGAGAGTTGTTTTGCTCTTTAAGTTTTTATTTTCTGTTCCATTGACAAATGGGACGTCATTTTCATTCATTGGCAGTGATTTATGAAGTACCTACTATTTGCAAAGCCAGGTGTCTTTTTTCTAAGTATCTTGTAATGCGCTTAGTTAGGCCCAACCACTTGAAGTATTAGAACGTAAAACTTTAAAACTCTAAAATATTTTAAAATCTGACTTCAGCTAACTAAATCTGAAAAATGTCTCCTTTGTAGAAATATATTTACTTTATATGTAATAATATCTTCCGTGGCAAATCAAGTATTTCTTTAGTGTTGTGACTTCATTAATATGATAAATAGTTCAAACGGCTTTTAAATTTTTCACTTTATTATATTAAACATTTTGCTTTTCTGATATTAAATGAAGCATTTCTAAAATTTCATAAAGGGAAATATACATTTCAACTACACACAGGCTGTGTCCATTTTATTGTTTTGGGGGTGGAGGAAGTGGGAAGGTCTGCACCTGTGGATAGAGTCTACCTCAAGGTTATAGTGGAGAGAGAACTGAGATAATCTCTGTGAGATCAAATTTTTTAACCCCTGGTTCTCAGTCCCTCTATAAAGTAAGGAACAAAACTAGTATACTAGCCCCTTCCATCTCCAAATCTGTGATCTTGTGATGATTTTATTTCATTTAGCATAGGGAATTGTCTTCACCCATGAAAAATAAAGATCCAGACTCCTCTAATTTAGCTTCAGAATGTTGCTTAGGGCAAATGACTTGTACAGTCATACTGTTCACTAGGTTATTAAGTGTTAAAGGCTGCCCCACAAGCGTCCAAAGGCAGCTTAGAGTAATAAAATCTTAGAATTTTAGACCTTCCAGGTCTGAGAATTTATCTAGTCTATTTCCTTCATTTTGTAGATAAGGATTGCAAAGATGGGAACAGTGCTGGAACTGACACCCAGGCCTGGTGACCCCATTATCTTTGTTTTATATCACAGTGCTCTACAAGTGTAGAATTTTAAATTCTAAAACATAATCATTGGCAATAGCTGTTTCACTGTTGAAATTCCTCCAGGTATGTGGATAAAATATTTCTGAGAGCTTTAACCTGAGGCTATGACCAAAAAAAAAAAGTCCGTGCAGTATATTTTATCATGTTTGCATTGTTCCATATAAATTTATAGCTACTATCTTGAATATAGTTTACATTTTTTTGGATAGATGGTTTTGAATAGAATCTATTTTGCTCTGTTAGATGCTGTATTATTTAAAAATTGATATATTTTTACACAAATTCAGTAATTTCTTTTGTCATTTTCTCCATGTTGTTCAGTCATGTCCGATTCTTGATGACTCTGTGGACCATACTGCTCAAGGGGTTTTCTTGGCAAAGATACTGAGAAATTTGCCATTTCCTTCTCCACTGAATTAAGGCAAACAGATTAAGCAACTTGCCCTGGGTCACACAGCTAGTAAGGCTGGATTTGAACTTAGGTCTTCTTGATTTCAGGGCCAGTGCTCTATCCACTGAGCCACTTACTGCCTGTCATATTCCCCATAGCTGAAAATATAAAGTTGGTTGAGAAAGAGTAATTGAAATTAAGTAAACAAACATGGCCACTTTTGGTTCATGGAATTATTTGATTAATCATGTGCATTTAATAATACCATGTTACCTGTTAGCCTTTTAATGCATCACTTTTAAAAAGGCTGAATTTTTCTTGAATATATTGAAGTGGTCTCGTGGTATCCTAATGATAGGATAGGCTTTCAACTTTAAAACTTGAAATAGGAACTACTAAAAATTTGTTTAAAACTTGGAGGAATTGTTCAAGTGGATCATAGGATCGTAGATTTAGAAATGAAAAGTAATGTAGAGGCAATGTAGGTCCAACCCCTTAATTTTACTGATGAGGAAACTGAGGGTTAAGTAACATGTCCAGGGTCACATAGATATTGACAGAAGCAAAATTAGAATCCAAACCAGAGTCTTTGACTCTAAAAAAAGCCCTTTCACCCCTGTACCACATAGCCTAGATTTCAGTGGAAATAGTCACGCTTGTTTGGAAGTTTAGGATCATAAATTATGAATTGGATGGCCAGAATTAAATGGGTCCCTGGCAGCTGACAGGCAAATGAGACTGAGGAGCAGTCAGCTTAATGTTGAAAAGGTTTCTAGCTTATTTTAAAATCAGTTTGAGGAGATGCAGCGTAGTGGAGTAGATAGAGAGCAGCAGGTTGGCAGACTACAGAGTTAAAAAAAAACAGACGAAGGTTCAAGTGTTAATTCTGGACACATAACCTGTTCCGTGTGCCACCCAGGGCAAGTGACTTAACCTCTCAGTGCCCTAGAGCCCTCTATAAGATAGATAGCAAGTTACACAACAGTGGCTCATCTGAATTTATGGAAGGAGTTTTCTCATGGGGAACTCCCTATACCAATGAAATCACAGGTGTGGACCCAAACCAAAAAACCCTAAAGCTCTTGGGATTTAGTTCGAGAAATTCTAGTAGTGTATCAGCCTCTTTCAGTCTAGATCTGTACCAATGTTAAAATGCTAACAACTTTGCCTCACTTTTCTCAGGAATTCATTCAAAACAGTAACTGCTACTGGTTTTGTATACTTTAAGGTTACTGATGCACTTTACATATATTACCACATTTGATTTTCACAACTCTATAAAGTAGTTACTATTATCCCCATTTTACAGAACAGTTAACTAAGGCTGAGAGTGGTTAAAGACTTGTCTGGTTCACATGACTAGTAAGTGTTGTAAGCAAGATTTAAGGTCAGACACTTGTAACTCAGAGTCCACCTAACAGTCAAGCAATAGTCAAACAGTTATGGGGGATTTTTTTTCCTGCTACCCATAAAACATTTCATAGCTCTGTTCACCCTACTAGCTTGTTATGTGAGGCAGCTACATGGTGAAGTGGATAGAGCATCAGGCCTGGAGTTAAGAAGACCTAAATTCAGATCTGACCTCTGTTGGCTTGCTAGCTGTGTGACCCTGGGCACATCACTTAACCTCTGTTTGCCTCAGTTTCCTTATTTGTAAAATACGGGTAATAATTGCACCTCTGTCCCAAAGTTGTTATGAGAATCAAATGAGACAGTTGTAAAATGCTTAGTACAGTGTTGCACATAGTGAGCACTATATGAATGTTAGCTATTAGTATTAATGTAGGGCAGGGTATGTAATATTGAAGAATGTCTTAATGTTCTAACGAACAAGTGACTTAGTACACTAATAGTGATAACAACTACAGTTTATATAGGGTTTTAAAATTTGTAAAGCACTTTACATATTATCTCATTTGAGTCTCAAAAAAAACCCTTGTAAGGTAGGTACTTATTCCCATTTTACAGATGAGGAAACTGAGGCCTTATTCTAAGTAAAACACTCTACTGGCATACACTATTCAAGGAATGGAGTATATGTATGACTTTTATAAATGTAGTGATTCTTTTTGTGATTGCATTAATGATAAATAGATAAGGGCAAAATCAACTTCATACTGAGAGATTATTGATTATAGTGAATGCTGTCTGCTTAAAACTGTAATTAAGCTGTAG